GGTCTCTGAATAGAGTCCTAATTTATTGTGGAGCATTGGCTGAAGATAGTAAAGCAGTAATCAAAGGATACGTCGACTCTGATTATGCAGGTTGTATGGATTCCAGAAAATATATTTCTGGATATGTGTTCACTATGTTTGGTACAACAATTAGTTGGAAAGCAACACTTCAGAAGGTTGTTGGCTTATCAACGACTCAAGCATAATATATCTCCCTCACTGAAGCTGAGAAATAAGCATTGTATCTTGAAGGTTTTGCTAAGGAGCTGAAACTTCAAGGTCAAGTTATCACTGTTAAATATGATAGTCAAAGTGCAATACACCCGTCGAAGAATTAGCCTATCATGAGCGAACCAAGCACATCGATGTGAGGCTGTATTTTTTCAGAGGAGTAATCGAGGATGGAGAAGTCCAATGGCTGATGGTTTTGACAGATCACAATTGCTGATATGATCACCGACATTACCAAGTTATAAGTTTTTCCATTGTATGCAGTTGATAAAGCTGCATGAAGAAAGCTAGTTTGTACTATGATATTAGAGTTTGTTCTAAGGTAGAGATTTGCAAGAATTGGATCGAACTCTAGATGGTCGAAGGGTAGCTTCTTTGTTCGATAATTCGACATGAGTTTAGCATGTCGTCGAAGTATATTCACATGCTGGTGTCGAAGACCTACATGCTCTAGTAGAAGTGTGTTCTAGTATGTAGGTGTCATAATGCTATGGTTATGTCTAATTGTTTAAGTTATCATGTACCCTATGTTATCTTGTAATGGGTATTTGTGAAAAAACTCATTAGTTTAGTATGTTAGGTTTTATTATAAATAACATACTAGTTTCTCATCATTGCACATAACAAATCCTGATTTAGGGTAAGAGGGTTATTTTTTATTCTTGTGTACTTGTAATCTTGTTTAAAGAGAAAGTAAAGAATAACAGCTAATAACCAATTCCTTGTGTTCTTCTTGTTTTTCCATCTTTTCTACCCTTGTGAGTTTCTTGATCATAGAGAAACCGTTTATATTTTGTTTTCAAGGCATCGTTTTCACAACATAACTATTGTGATATGGTGCACGCTTTCCAGTATATTACAATGGTCCCAAGACCGTGATTGTAAGTGATACATTTACAACAATACTCTACATAACAACGCTTGGGTCTGCGTGATTATATATCTTTTTCAACCGTTGTTAAAATGGAATTTTCGTAGTAGTGCCAAGGGAAGAGATAATGTCTTTATATATATAAACAATTTATTCTAATTTATTTGTTTCTTTTGTTAGATTCTTACAAATGTGAAATAAATCTACATAGGAAAAGTAAGAGATTACCTCATCGTCTTGATAGTTTTCCATGAGACAAATGTTTGCTTCTTCCTTATTTGAGGTTTCCATATCATCGTTATCTAAGGATATGTATGCTCTCTTTGCTTTTCTCCGCGAGTTCTTGAACTTTAATTGATTTTGATTTCTTCTTTGGTTTTGAGGATAATTTGGCCTTGTGTGCCATTTCTATCCATATTGATTACATGTAGGAATGGAGGAGGATTTCTCCACTTTGCTTCTAGAGCCTTAAATTTGTTTTTCATGCTTTAGGAATTCCTTGAATTTTCGAAACATGAATTCCATGAATTCCTTACCTTTAATTTGACACTCTTTATCTTTTGGCTCCATAACTTTAGTGCTTATGGCTTTTAGTGCAATACTTTTATTCTTTTTCTTGTTATCTTGTTCGTAATCAACAAGTTTCTTCAGCTCCATCTCATGTTCATGCAATTTGCCAAAAAATGTGTGTATGTTGATAGTCACTAAATTGTTAGATTCACAAATCACAATGTCATTGGGTTACCGACTACAGTTTAGGCATTTGAGTATTTTTTTTTATAACTAGTTCCTCATTTGAAAATATTTTTCCCAGAGTTCTCATATGACTCAAGATATGAGTAAATCGTGTTTGCATTGGATTAATGATCTCTTCATGTTTCATTATGAATAGTTCATATTCATGGGTTAATGTGCCCAACTTTGTCCTCTTCACATCAAAAGTTCCTTCATGGGTAATTTGGACGATGTTTCACATTTCTTTTTGAGTTTCGCAGTGAGAAACTCGCAAAATCTCATCAAGACTGAATGCGACAATAATGACAGCTTTCACCTTCAAAATGTGCTTCATATTTTATTTATCATCTTTGGCCAATCCTTTTCAGTTTTTTTTTCTGTAACACAATTAAATTTGTGTGTAGAAACAAACATGCCTTCCTTCACAATGTTCCAAATACCACGATTCATCCCTTTTATGAAAAACTTCATTTTCTCTTTCCATAAACTATACCATTCTCCATTAAAGAATTGTGTGTGTGTGTGTTTGTGGAGGGGGGGATAATAATGAATAGCTTGAAGTAATTTGTCCTCCTAAGATTAGTCTTTAACATGAGTTAGGAGCTGATGGCACTTGTTAGACAAATGGCTTAAGTCACAAGAGGGCTTAAGTAAAGTTTCACTTAAAAGCACCAAGGTAATATTTCTAGAGAGAGAAAGAGAGAAAATATAGAGATAAATTGAAAAGAAAATGTAAAGGTTTGTAAAGTGGCACAAAATGAAGAGGAAGAGAGCCTCTTTTATATAGGTGATGGAAAAAAAAAGGAAATGATCAATGGGCTGAATTTATGAGCCAATTGATTGGCATAACACTCGAATCGATTGGAAGCCCTAAAATTAATCGATTATGATTGTTTAAAAGGAAAGAAAGGATACAAAGTTGTTACAAGTCATTAAGGTGTTGTCCTAACCGTTTGGTTAAATGGTTGTCCCTTCTCCAATCGATAGGTTGGCTCAGAAATCTCATAATTTTCTCATTATTCATCAAATTCTCCCACATTCTCACTATGAATTGCTCCCACTACTAAAAGAGGAATATCATCCAGATCAGATGCTTCTGCTAGTGGTACTACTTCGCCACCTTCTTTTGTTCTTCAATCTTCAAGTCAGTTGTTTCTTAGTGATATCCATGCCGATAGGTGGTTGAATATTAGACACCAAATATTCAACCAAGATAGAAGGTTTGAAGTGAAAAATTTGATGGACTATCTGTTGTTCCTCGAGGAACTCGACATAAGGAATTGGATCAAAATCAATAACTTCATCCAAGAAAGCAATATAAGAATCGCTTTAGAATTTTATGCAAATGATTTCAATCGTCCAATTGGTGAGTATGTTTCATTTGTTCGTGGTAAATAAATTGATTACAGTTCGAGTGCAATTTACTAGATGATGAGATTGACTCCGCTAGAAGTTTGAAGTGTCCAAAGTATAAGACTTCCAAGAAATCAGCCAATTGACGAAGATTGGGATCTGATATTGCAGGAATTATGTTGTGAAGTGGCCAGATGGTACCAGAAACCTAGGTAAAACTCAACCAGGTTAACTAGTATAAATTTAAAACATGTACCTAAGGCATGGACCTATTTCTTTGTGACCTATTTCTTTGTGTCTACTTAAAAAAGTGCTTCTAAATCTTTCGAGTTCATTCTTCAGAGGGTATTTGGGTTATTAACAATCATCATAGCACAATAGATAAAAATGGGAAGACTGGTTGCTGAGAATATCAAATTAATGGTGGATTCAAATTAGAAAGTTCCCAGGCATTTGATGTATTATTACTGAGTTATTCATATTGGCAGGTGTTCCAAGAGAAGACAATGACATCATCCTCGCACCAAAAATGCCAATGAACAAAATCTTTATAGAGGGTTTGTCAATGGCACAAGTGCGTCAAAATGGGAGAAGAAGTTGTAGAGAAAACTCAACAACCATCATGGAAGCAGAAAGTTCCACCAACACCATAAGCGACCCAACAACCTCCTTAGGAGAAATCACATTTGAAACCACTTAACAAATTCAATAGAGACAATTTGTGACTATGTCTCTTACCTAGTATTGGAATGGAAAAATGCTCAACTTTGATCTCCATGTACCAACCAAGCTAAAAAATTTGTGCATAACCATGGAGAAAATATTTAGGAGGATGTTTCAAATGCAATATTGATGCATCTTTCTCCATAACAAGGTAGGGATAAGTGCTTATGTTCGGGATGAGGAGGAGCAATTCGAGGTTGCTAGAATATAGTGATTTCTCTTATTATCGAGGTTGCTAGAATATAGTGGCGGAACCATGAATTTTAGGCAGCCTGGACAAAAGTTGTAACTGTAAATTACATGTGATATATATATATATATATAGTCATAAAAATGTGTTAATTTTGTCCATGTTTTTACTAACTTTGCCCCTATTTTTACTATTTTTTGTCTAAAAATCGACTATTAGGTTGAGAGAAATACAAAAAAAAGTAAGGGTTAAACCTGAGCGCGTGCCCAGACTTGCTGGACTATAAAACCATCCCTTGATATGAGAAACACTTTAGGCCTTTTATCAACCATCAGACGAATATAAGAACTCGACATTGATGGAGTGGACTTTGAACTAGCTTTTAAAAGTGTAATAGATAATATGAATAATCAACAACTAAATTATTCAGATTTTAATGCTATTATTAGTGAGTGTAAACATTTATTAACTTTCTACTTTATAAACTCTCATGTTAAATTTGTTAATAGATAAATTAATGAGATTGTTTATGTTCTAGCACAAGTAATCTCTAGCTAGTTTTCACAATTTTAGTAATATGTATTAAGAGTTTATTATTAATGATAAAAACCAAAATATGATTGAAGCTTTTTACATAAAATTAATTAAAATTAAAATTGCTTATTTTAACATAGTCAAATGATAAGCATAAAAAAAGGTTGTAGATTGATTGCTTTTTGTTTTTACACTCATGCCGACATCAAATACTAAAATTTGAACATGTGCACTATTAAATCAAACTAGTAGATACTATTATTTTAGTTATTTTAGATCGATCTATGATCACCAAAACACAGTATTACCGTTACCGTTACTTATTTTGTTCTGCCTCTTCCCTCCATCAGTCTCAACTAAATCATGTCAAATGAGCTACAAAACCAAAACCCTGAAGCACAAAACCAGGTCTCTTTTCCCTTTTCCCTCTATTTTTTTTCCATCGTAATCAAATACTAAGATCAGAGATTTGTCTTAACAACAGGATAAAGAGCAATTCGAATCAGAGGGACCATCGCCCCTAACCGTTACTTCGCGGGTATGTATGCTTCTTCTTTTCCTTTTCAATTAGGTTTATTCTACAATTCAAAAACCTTCCATTCCAACGCAGGTTTTGTATATGTTGGAAGACATTACTCATTGGCTTCAATCCGTTCGAAAACGCACTTCCAATTACCGCTCCTCCGGTTTCCCTCGCTCTTCTTCCACCATACCCTTCTGGTATCTTACTATTTCTAAATTCTATGTGATAGTAGTAGATGCTGAATTTGATTTTTCTTTTATGTTATACATTCAGTAGGGTTTCTCACTGTTTGGTAACTGATTTAAATTGTGATTAGTCTCGGAGAATCTGCAGAGGATGCAGAAATTAATATGCTTCCTGATCAAACTGAAATTAGCGTGTGGGATCGGCTGGGTAAAGCAGAAATGTTGGACATTGAATCCAGTTCCTTTACTTGGGACATGCTGTCTTCACTTCACCATACTGAGCACACCAGTAGCAATGATCATTCTGAGGATGAAATGAATAGAGCTCTTGAGGTTTCTTGTTTTCCTATGCTCATAATACTGTTACAACCACAAATAGTTACTATGCAGATGAACAATATGTCTATTTTTATTTGTTTCAATTTTTTAATCGATGTTCTGTTGTTATAATAGTTGTGTTTTATTTTTTCGGCTTCTGCCTCATTTCTTCTCATTTGTGTCCATACAGATGACAGTAAATTCTGGAGGGGTTGTCTTCTTTGCCCTTTTCAATGTCGATGGGAGCAATGATGCTTCTCCAAAAGAAGCAGCAGCAGTCATAAAGATATCTTCGTCAAGAATGGCAACACAGTCTGAACGACTTGGATATGAATTCGCCAAATGGTTGGGAGTCCAAGCTCCGCAGGTTGTTCCCTTATTTGACTCAACCCTAACATTTGCAAGTTAACTTGTAGTTAGTCATATTTAATTTTTACTCTTATTTGTAAATTACAGGCTAGAGTCATTCACAATACCAGTTTAGAATGGCTCCAAATAAAGAAAGCTGCAGAAAAAGCAAGGGATGCAGCAAGTTGTGAGAGTGATGAAATTGGTGAAACGACCTGTTCTGAACTTTTGGAAGCGCTTGAGCTTAGCAAGTGTCTCTTGTTTATGAGGTACAATTCAAATATACTTTTCATATTGTAATGTTTTAAACATGATAACAATGGCAACATAAGATATCATTGGTTGTCTTGTTACTTTTCTTGTTCCTTGAGGATTTTCTTTTATTACTTGAATTAATTATGCTCCGCTGTAGAGGCATGATTTGACAATTTTGAATCTGGTGTGAGAAAATATCATCCTAAATTGGAGGTTCATGCTTCAAGAAAAGCAATTGTCATTCAAAATTTCAGTATGACTGTCACAAAATTTTGCTCTCTTCTCCATATGTGATAGTTTGAAAACTAGGATGTTTTTTTGTTTTGTTTTGTTTTGGCATTGCTATTAATTGTGGGTAACTAAATCAAATTTAAGATTTCTATTTCTTAGAAAAACGGTGAAACAAAAGCAGTTAATATATTTTGCTGTGAATTATTATTTTTGATATTAACTTTTGATGTTTATTCTAATGGTTCATAATCTTCTTGTAGTTATGTACATGGCTCACCTTTACTTGAAAGCTCTGCCGCATTTGAATCAAGGGACTCTGCAGAAAGAACGTCAGCAGCACTTGGCAGGATAATGATGCTAGATCTTGTTATCAGAAATGAAGATAGGCTTCCATGCCGTCAACTTAGATGGCGTGGGAACCCTGCGAATTTGTTATTGGCTAAAAAAGCAATGCCTTCCAATTTAGATACAATAGGAGAAACCTCTGACTTGATAATGAACCGATACGGGTCCGCGATGGTTGGGACGCTTCAAGAAAAAAAAAAGTCCACTTCAAGATTGTTTTCTCAAAATAATAATGGAATAAGATCACAAGGCTCTCATCTTTCACAAATAAGAGAATCATCTGATGACTTGTGCCTTAAAAGTCAAACATCAAGAGAATCAATGTTTACTGGCTCCAACATTGTTGCCATTGACTCTGGTGTTCCTCGTCGACCTCCTGCCATAAAACGTGCAGATGATCAGATAAGTTATCCTAAGTTGGTTGAGTTAGTACTAAATAGCTCTGAGTTTTCCTCTTGCCTGTTACATGATATAACTGGAGGGAAATTAGGAAATCATCTCGTAGAAGACATAAATTTAATCGTTGACGTACAAGGGAGTGATGTAACATCAATAGTTCATGAGTTCCGCAGTGGTTTCCGTGCTGCTCTTAGGGATCTGCAAGGATTTCATATATTCCTACTTACACTTCACCAAAAACTTGATAACTTGTTACGATCATTTAATAATACTATAAGCAAAACATCACCTGGGGAGTCTGAAAAGGAAGATTCACCTTCACCTGCTACTGGTAGTTGTCTCTCTCCAACAAGAAAGGAGAGATTTTCTAATGATAGCCATCGAGATTTTAGTGATTCAGATTCGCAGAGGTCTGCTCCAAGGGCATCTTCAGGTAATAGAAATTTTTGTGACTCTGCTTCTCCTATGTCAAGAGAAGGTTGCCATGGAAAATCCTCTAAAGGGAGTGTGGAGCCATTACATGATTCCCATTTTACAGCTAAGCTCCGCGACTTCCATAAATTTGCTAAGGTTAGTCTCTAGGTAGCATAAGCTGTATACTAGTACAATGCCTTGCTTCTGCTGCACATTACTTTAGTGTCATGTTTGCATTTTTTATTCATATGCTTATTGTGGAAGATAAACTGATTTATGACAAGTTTGTGTCAACCAATTTAACTATTGTGGACAAATGATTGAATGTGCTCCTTTTTTTGAATGGAAACATGAACACTAGGAAAAATGTTACTTCTTGTTTATTTTGGAGAAACATATTACTCTTGCCTTTTGCTCTTGTTGTTTTCCTAATCTTTGATTGACAAGGTGTCTTTACCACGTAACATAACATTTATTTTACCATGCAATCTGTATTTTTTTTCTCTTGTCTTATTCTATATCACATACTTTCCAGGTTGATGCAGAATCTTATAAAGAATTGGAACATTGGAATGAAATGCTTAAAAATGATGCTATCAAGTTATGTCAGGAAAACAATTTCAATTCAGGATTTTTTGAGGGAAGTGATAGCAACACCGTTGTTGATGCATATGAATTGAAGGTATCTTCTGCGTTTAAACTATTAAGCAGAATTATTGAAGTCAATTTGTTCATTAGAGGATATATATTCATATTAAGTATTTACTCCATGAATTTCCAGATCAGACTTGAACATATCCTTGAAAGGATTGCATTGATATCTGAGGCTGCAAATACTGAGAGACCATCTGCTATTACAAATTATTTGTTCATCGGTGGAGCGCTATCTGCAAGATCTATATATACAATGCAACACTTGGGAATCAATCATATCTTGTGTTTGTGCACTAACGAAATTGGACAATCAGATTCTCAGTTTCCTGATCTTTTCACCTACAAAAATTTCTTTGTATGTCTTCTTATCATTTTTCTAATTTTTAACTGCCCCCTCCCTGGATTACTCTACTAATGTATTTGCAAAGGTTTTTGCGTAAGAATTGATTTACTTGTTTATATTATTTATTCACTCTTTCATGTAGAATTAATCTAATTTTGTATTGGAGTTGAACTTTTACTCATTTCACAAACAATCAAACTTTTGTTCAATGGATCACATAAAGGCAATCATAATTCATACCATGTCTAGACAACGATCCCAAATACTTGTGATGTTATGTGCAATGATTATAATACCACCAAGGTGCAATAGGTTTGATGACCTAATCTCTGGGCCCATCTCACACTTGCACTGTTTCTAGAAGGATATAGATTGTGATGGCCAAATTTATATTTCTCGCCTTTTCAACTTTTCCTTTTCTATACGACCAGTTTTGAATTTTGATCTCCTTTGGTTTATATAGTATTTACCATTTAAGGTTGGACACATACTTTCACCTGTCCATCATGTAATGTATTTACTAATACTATCCAATATGTATTATTTATGGCCCAATTGTTTCAGTTTTTCATGTAAAAGTCATTTTCATTTTGAGTAGAACCAAATACAAAGTTTTTCTGTATCGTTTGTTTAAGCTTTTTAAAAGAAAAAAAAAAAAAAGATTTCTGACTATTTTATTAAAATCTACTTTGAGTGGCTTCATATTTCTTTTCAACTCTTCTGTTTGAACAGGTATGTGACACTGAGAATTCTAACATCAGCCTCTTATTTGAAGAAGCTTGTGATTTTATAGAAGATGTTGAGAGAGCGGGTCAGGGAATTCTAGTTCATTGTTTTGAAGGGAAAAGCAGAAGTGTCACTGTAGTCCTTGCTTACTTGATGCTAAGAAAGTAAGTAAACCTATAATAAATACAATATTGCCTACAGTTGAAACTAATGTTTTGTGTAGCCACATCTCCATAACCATATCAATGTTGCAATTGTAACTAAATAGTTTAATCTTGATGACAAATTATGCTACCGTATAGGTTATTTTCATTGTTAGGTAACATAAAGCAATCTTAAATTTATCTTTGGATAGTTAATAGTTAAGAGTATCAATGCAAGTTACATTTGGGATGTGATGCAGGAACTTCACATTATTAGAAGCATGGAATGCTATGAAAAAAGTTCACCGTCGAGCACAGCCGAATGACGGTTTTGGAAAGATCTTACAGGAACTTGATCAAAAACTGCATGGGAAGGTTTCAATGGAGTGGCGGAGGCGGAGACCAACAATGAAAGTTTGTCCTATATGTGGCAAGAATGCTGGACTGAGTAGCAGCTCACTTAAGCTCCATCTTCAGAAATCACATAAAAAAAGACTATCATCAGGGAGTGTAGATAGTGCCATGAAAAAGGAAATCCAAAAGGCATTAACCACTCTGAATATTAGCCGTGGTGGGAGTGTGAGCCCCACACACAGGCTGTCCCATTCAATGACAGATTAATATATTTCCTTTCTCTTGCAAACTTTGAAGCATGAGTGATTATAAAATGGTGAAAATACATGTACTGGATACGTATCCGGCACCGTACATACCATACTCGCGATTCTTTATTTTCTTATTATTATTGATCAAATCTATCCCTAACATTGGCTGTGATTTAAGTTTGGTTCTAGAGTTATTTTATTGATAAATTATACCATACATGGAATTAGCTGTTAGTTTAGTTCTAGAGTCAGCTGTTATCAGCATCTTGGAATATAAGTTGAAATTTAGGTTCTGTTTAAGAGTTTGAAGGATGGAGTTTTAAAAGAAGAGAAATAAAAAAATATATATTACTTTTTTAGAGAGCATTTTTATGCAAATATATTATTTTATTCTTCAATGAAAACATTTGTCATTGTAAAATAAATGAGATTGAAATAAAACTGGTATATATCATATTAAAAAACTATTAAGTAATAATTAATAAATGTTTTTAATTGTCTCACACACACAACGGTTTTGGGAAGATCTCACATGAACTTGATCAAAAACTAATTAAGAAGGTTTTAATGGAGTGGTGGCATAGACAAACAATTGTCTCTGCAAGAATGTTGGATCGAATAGCAGTTCACTTAAGCTCCATCTTCAGAAATCACATAAAAGACATTCAATGACATATGCAAATCTAAAAGACATTAACCACTTTGAATATTAGCTGTGGTGGGAGTGTGAGCCTCACACATAGGCTATCTCATTCAGTGACATATTAATATATTTTCCTTCTCGTCCAAACTCTAAAGATAAAGCATGAGTGATTATAAAATGGTGAAATACATGTGTATCCGGCACCCGTTCATACCGTACTCGTGATATGTTATTTTCTTAATATTATTGATCAAATCTACCCTTAGCATGTCTTAAGTTTGGTTCTAGAGTTATTTTCATTTTCATTTAATATTAAGTTTTGAAGTTAAAACTTGAACTATTAGATCTTGATCTAACAACCTCCAACTTGCTAACTATGTGTAGTCAACTACTTATGCTACACGCAAGGAAAAGGATTTGTTGCCTTTTAAGTGAACTTTCCCTTAATTTTATTCATTGGATTTGTTTCATTGCGGAACCAAAAATGTCGATGATTGTAGAAAATAATGTGGAGCAGAGCTTCTGATACAATACGTTGATGTGATACTGTAGATTGAAGGTTGTGATTATGGTGTTTCTTGAATCAGAGGTATCACTGTTAATGTGATATCATCGACCGGTGTTGTTATCTCCGATACGGTGGACCTAAAAAAGGATACTTGCATGGTTAACACTCAAACGCCTAAGTCAGTTTAGGATTCAAGATCGAAGGTAGTGAAAGTGGAGTTCAAATATTATGTACCTTAGAACTCTTTACGAAGGTATTTATACATTGAGCCTGACGGAATCAACTAGGTAATGGGCGTCGTGCTATTGAGCCTTTGGCCGACGTAGAGCAATGCGTCTCAGGTCTTTAGCTGGCATGAAACAATTTTCCCCAAGACTCGTCAGGCATGTATGATGTTAGAGGAGTCTTTCAATAATAGTGATTGACCTCAAAGGGATTATATCCAGGCGTCAACTGGCATGCGCCACTCTGGTTTTACCAAAGTATGATGCGAATGTGAGCATTAAATGCATTCCATCATTGAAATATTTCGTTGTTTTTCTCTTTGACGCGTGACCTAAAAATGCATGAACTGACGTGACACAACTTTCTGCGTCCTTAAGTGTGGTTGTCTTTCCCAGATAAAATCTGACCATTGATTTATCCTTATTTCCTGCTTTTAATCCTATATGTTCGATTGCCTTTGCATATATAAAAATGGAGAGGGAACGTGGAGAAACTTTTTTGCCTTCTTGTGGCTTGAGTTTCCTTCGTCTCTTTGATTTTGTCCCTCTTTTCTGAGAGCACTTACTTTCCAGAGTAATTGTCGTCGCACGTTAAAAAACTTTAAAGCATTAAAGCTTCCAGTTTTCCTTCCTCTTTTCAACGCCTTCGCCTTCCTTTTTCAAGGTACATTCTCTCCTCCTCGGCTTTTACTCAAGTTTTTATCGGATTTTCATTACGATGAGTGGTAACCCGATTATCTTCAAGAATAACTCAGACGATATTGTTTCTTTGTCTTTGAAAAGGGGAATGAAGTTCGAATAACATTCCTTACCTCTGTCAGTAGGGGTCTTGAATTAGTTATCGTCATTTTGAGTGATGTTTCGAAGATAGAAGAGTCGTTCGAAGAATCTTTGTCAGATGAAGCTCTCTCCATGACTACTTCAGAATCTCGGGTTCCTGTAAAATCTAACTTGGGTGAAAACCTTGCTGAGGGACCGATGCTTCCTCCTATTTCATCTGAGGCTGAAATAGAGGTTGCCCGTCGAAGGAGGGAACATGATGGTCGCTTCATCCAAACATACCGGGAGTCAACTAGACATGACCCTAGTGACGTTGAAATTGTATGTAATATAGAGTTCCAATGGCGGCATGATATTATGTCTTGGGTCAATCTCAGTGATCATCATAGAGATGATGTGTTGGCCTGTGAGGGTATTCAGTTAATAAAGTCGGCCAATGCGAGTAGGTACAATTTGGTAGATGTCGATATAATTGGGATTCCTTCCTTTCTAGACACCATTGAAGCCGTAACACGGGCCAACATCACATTTATCAACTTCCCAATTGGGAAATTTTGCCAGTAGGTTCCGATGAGAGGGTGTGCAGCTCTTTCAAAGGTTTCTCGGTTCCCTTGTATGAGTGTCTCTTCACCAGGTTAGGGATGTGCCTACCCTTCTCTGATTTTGAGGTGGCCGTAATGATCCATCTAAAAGTTTCCCCCTTGCAGCTTCATCCTAGAGCCTAGTTCTTCATGCTAATGTTCCACATTTGCACCGGGTACAAATATTGGAAGCCTTTATTGGGGCTCTTCTTCAACCTCTTTTATGTGGCTCGTACTTCGCTGGATGATGCTCAGGATCAAGGATTAATCTCCTTTCATCCTCAAGTACCTTGGTTCGACTCTTTTGCTTCTGACTAGGGGAACTTTCTAGAGCGATTTGTATTGGTGAACTGTCACTTTTGAGGCACATATGGCCTTCTGTTTGTCTACGACTCCGGTGAGGAACAACCTCTCTTATAGAGGCAGCTTTCAGAAATATTGGTCCAGAATTACTGACATATCCCTTCTTTTCATTCCAAACTGACTTCTCTGTCTCTTAAGGAAGAGAAATGAAAGAGGATTTTCATGCATGGTATCGAGGACTCGATATGAAGAAGGGTTTGGTCCCGACCAAGTGCTTTCTTTTAAGTAAAAGAAAAAGTGAATAGATATTTGTTCAATCATTAGTGACTCTGAACATTTTGAGAGACACAAACTCTTTGGTGATGATGGGGATCCGGGCACCTTTTTTTTAACCTTGCAACTTGTGCTTTTGCAGATAACATGAATCGATTGAGTCAATTACGGAAAGCCCTAGATATTGCGAATGATCAAGGCCGACGACACTTATTGTTTCTTCTACTTCTGTTTCGAAGGTTCGAATTCGTGCTGTGGTGACTTCCTCGGAAGTGGTCGATACTATTATCCCAATTATGACTCTTGAAATGGGTCAGCCAGCTGCCGACACAACTGATCTATCTGCTCGGGGACCATCACATTCCCATTCCTCTATCAAGAGAGGTCAGGTGATAGTTCGTCCACTTCTATCGAAGGAGTTTATCCCAAATAGGCCTGCTTAACAGAGGATGGTGGCCATGATACTTTGACTCCTTTCTTTCATCTTCCTACAATTCAACCTTCTCGGGTACCTAGCACCCCGAAGGAGTTTACTGCTATAGTGGTTACAGAGGACCTGGAATTTTGTAAACTTTTTCACTCGAGGAGATACCGAGTCCCTCGGGCGAGAGCTTTTATTAATTATGAGAACTTTATGACCCATAGAGGTTGTATCATGTAACCCGACTGGGGGGGCGTTGAACCCCTAAGACGAGATGTTTTAAACTTTAAGGTGGGACTTCTATCGAGCCCTCTAGAAATACTTAACACCAAGTCTCTAGGGCCTGATATATGTCGTGCCCCTTAGGTGTGAATTTTGGAAACTATTTCGCCCGAGGAGAAATTGAGTCCCTCAGGTGAAAGCTTTTATCAACTTTGAGGACTCTAAGTACCTTAGAGGTTGCATCATGTAACCCGACTGGGGCGGCATTGAGACTCTTAGATGGGACATTTTAGCCTTTCAGGCGGGTCTTCTATCGAGCCCTCTACCAAAACTTGACACCATGACTCCAAATCTTGATATAGGTTGCGCCCCTTAGGCATGAAGTTCGGAAACTATTTCGCCCAAGGAGATACTGAGTACCTCAAGCGAGAGCTTTTATTTTGATCAAATTGGCATGGCCTGGAATGGCGGCAAGGATCCTCTAATGAGGCTTAGGCATTGTAATTGCTTCAAGATGCTGCAAGGCTCTTCTTGAGGAAGTCCAGCTATGTGATTGCCTTGAGGGGTAACAAGGATCTTCCTATGGAAATCCAACATGGTGATTGCCTCGAGGGGCGACAAGGATTTTCTTATGGAAATCCAGCATTATGATTACCTCGAGGGGCGACAAGGATTTTCCTATGGAAAAGCAACATATGTATATTGCCTCGAGGGACAACAAGTATTTTCTCTTGGAAATCCAACATATGTATATTGCCTTGAGAGGCCACAAGGATCTTCTTGTGGAAATCTAGCATATTTATATTGCCTTGAGAGACGATAAAGATCTTCTTGTGGAAGTGCAACATAAAATATGTTCCGAAGAGGGAGTCCCTAGGTTAAATGAAACATTTGGAAGATTGTCCAAAATTACACATGCATAACGTTTACAAAAAAGTTACAATAACTTTAACTATAATAATATCAAAGATGGAGTCAGTTCCAAGTTCGGGGCAAAAGCGGTCTTTCAAGCTCTTGTAACTTGTATGCTCCGTGCGAGACCTTTTTGTATATGCAATATGGTCTTTCTCAGTTGGATCGTAGCTTCCTCTATTGTGCAGGTGTGACTACCTCCTATAATACCAAGTCTCCCCTTGCATCTCCATTGTCTTCACCTTAGAGTTGTATCTCCCAACGACTCTATGCTTGGTGGAAAACTCTCAGACCTGGGCGACTTCTTGTAGGCCTTTGATCAAATTCGCTGCACAATTAAATCATATTGTGTTTGCTTCCTCTTTGATAAGGGCTCTTCACCATGACGATCTCTCAATTTCTACGAGCGGCATTGTGTCCGCCCTATAAACCATGAAAAATGGGGTTTCCTTGGTGGTGGACTATGGCGGGGTGTGGTACGACCATAGTATCTCGAGGAGCAGCTCTACCCACAGGAATCTTGTATCGTCCAACTTCTTTTTAAGTCCTTTGAGGATTGCCTTATTTGCAGACTCGGCTTGTCCGTTGGCTTGAGGATGCACCACATACATGAAATTTATTTGCACGCCCCAATCTTTACAGAAGTCTGTGACCACGATGCTGGTAAATTGGAAGGCCAAATTAAGGAGGCCCACTTGGGAAAAATATTTCCTTAACATATATTATGGGTAGGTCGTAATTTTCCCATAAACATGTGTAAACGTCTATGTTTTGAAGTTCTAAATCTTATTTTAAGGTAGTTAATAGGCATGGACATTAACAACACATTTATAGGCATGGATTTCATTGGGAGTGAAAGTAAAATATGCCATGCAAGAGGTAGATGATGAACGTTTGAAAAACCCTTGAATGTTAAGTACATCTAGGGAGTTATTCATGAGTTGTCTAGTAAAGTGGATATCTAGAGTGATCGTTTGAGGTGGATAAATATGTAGTGTGATAACATCATAGGACGACTAAGGTGAAAACCTTGAGAAGGTAGTGATGCACGTACTTGAGGTGAGAATGACTTTCATGCTATGGTTGTTATAATGATAAATGAATTATTGATTTATTAGGGTTCTTTTGTAGTAAGTATGTATGTTCATAGAGTGAGGACCCAGTTGTATACTTACGCACAAAAATATCTATATATGAATACTATTCAATATTCATTTAGGGATAAGTTAGAATAAAAGATCCACCATGGCTAAGTGGATTCTCCATTTATACACCGGAGTGACGTAACATCAATAATCCACGAGTTCTGCAGTGGTTTTCGTGCTTCTCTTAGGGATCTGCAAGGATTCATATATTCCTACTTACACTTCACTAAAAACTTGATAACTTGTTAGGATCACTTAATAATACTATGAGAAAAATATCACTGATGTGTGTGAAAAAGAATATTCACCTTCATCTGATATTGGTAGTTGTCTCTCTCCAACGAGAAAATATAGATTTTCTAAAGATAACCATCAAGATTTTAGTGATTCAGATCCACAAAGATCTGCTCCAAGGGCATTGTCATTTTCAGAGAATAGAAATTTTTGCGACTCTGTTTCTCCTATGTCAAGAGAAAGTTATCATGGAAAATCCTCCAAAGGGATTCTGAAGCCATTGCACGATTCTCATTTTATAGCTAAGCTCTGTGAGTTCCATAAATCTTACAAGGTTGGTATCTAGGTAGTACAGGATGTATACTAGTACAATGCCTTGCTTCTGGTAGCCATTGCTTTAGTGCCATGTATGCATTTTTTATTCATATGCTTATTGTCGAAAATAAATTGATTTATATCAAGTTTGTATCAATAAAGTTAATTATTATGGACAATGGGTTGAATGTGTTCCCTTTTGGCTTTTGCTTTTATGAATGAAAGAATAAATTATAGGAAAATTATTACTACTTTTTATTTTAGCATCATACTTTCCAAGTTGATGCATAATCCCATAAAGAATTAGAACTTTGGAATGAAATGCTTAAAAATGATGTTATCAAGCAAGAGAATAATTTCAATTTAGTTTTTTTTTAGGGAACTCATAGCAACACTATTGTGGATGTATATAAACTTTAGATATTTGAGTTTAAACTATTAAGTTGAATTATTAAAGTCAATTCATTCATAGGGATGCATATTCATATCTGAGGTATTTACTCCATCATTAGGATTGCATTGATGCATATTTATATTCATAACTTTAGGATAGCAATACTCCTGTTGATCCATATAAACTTAAGGTATTTACTCCATTAACTTTAGGACTACATAGATATTTGAGGCTACAAATACATAGAAAGACTGTCTCCTATTGCAAATTATTTGTTCACCAGTGAAGCACTATCTGCGAGATCTATGTACACAATGCAACACTTGGGAATCACTCATATTTTATGTTTATGTACTAATCAAATTGGATAATCAAATTCTCAATTTCCTGATCTATTCACTTACAAAAATTTCTTTGTAAGTCTTCTAATCATTTATATATTTTTAAATGATGTATTTGTAAAGGCTTTTGCGTGAGAATTGATTAACTTCCTTTAAGTCTTGTTTACATTATTTATTCATTCTCTTTCATGCATAATTAATTTAGTTTGGGTTAATATATATTTTTCCCTCTGTCATATGGGTGAACTTTGAAAAATTCTCATGTAAAAAAAATCAAGATTTCATCCTTAACATTTGAAGATTCTCTTGTTTTGGTTCTTTATTAAACCAAATTAGCAGAATTTATGACCTGGCATGTACAAGCTGAAATATTTTATAATTTTTCAATTTTAATTAATTATATGTGGTATTTACCCATAGTAAAAATGTAAGTTATTTTAATTAACAAAGTTACCCCTTAGTAACTTCACTAATGACTAAGATTAATTAATATAAGCCCTAATTTCTATAAGTTACCATCAAAAGATGAAGACTGTGAGTTGTTTCACTGGGATGATGAGTATTTATGTGAAAGGAAAAAACACCAAAAGATGATGATGTATGTGATAGGTCTGACATGATGGCAGAGTATTTGAGAAAATTTGGCTAGTAATTTGGGAAAGAATTTGGAAAGGAATATGACACTCAGATGTGTTCAAAAGAGATTGAAGATGTGAAGAAAAAGGTTACGATTCTAAGGAAGAAGATGAAGTTTCTAGTAGTTGTAGTTATTTGTTCTTGGTTGTATTTTGTTACACTTTTAGGAGAATATAATAATAGATATTTATGTAATGATTTAATCTAATGTAACAATGACAAATAATGTGTAATGTAACTTGTTTTTAAATGAATGGAAATTGTTAGCTTTGGTACAAAATATTGGGCAGACATTGTGCATTACGGTTGAAATTAGAGTTAGTTGCAATTAGTATAATTTGTTTGTTAGTAGGTCTATAAGTTGTAGTTAGTATAATGCAGTTAATATAAGCACATCTCAGCTTGATAATTTGACATAAGCATAATTTGGCAGTTAGTATAATTTGTATATTATATAGCAGGCATTATAATACAATTTGTATATTATATAATTTGTATATAATATGCATTATAGTAGGCATTATAAGTTGTAGTTAGCTGACATTATATAATTTGTATATAATTAGACATAAGCATAAATTGTCTGATATAAAAGCTGACATTATAACCATAACTTGACTGATATATAAGCATAATTTGTCTGATACATTAAGTATGGAAAGCCATTTCAAAATGAGCACACATTGTGCATTACAAAATACTACAAATTAAGCACACATTGTGCATAACAAAATATCAAACTTGTAAAGGAAACTACAAATACAAATCACTGAGACATTTTCCTAGAAATCTCATCCCATGACTTCATGTTGCGCAAACAAGTCCCTAATTGGGATTTTATTTGGAAGGGCCTTGTGAATCATCAATTGTGTTATAAAGTTCTAATGAAGCAGGTATACTTGATCATGGGCCAACATTGTTCCTTGACCTTCATAATGTCTTTAACCTGTCACTAGTTCTCTTAGGTACTTGGGATTTGTTTTCTCCAAGTGGTTTCTTCTTTGGATTTGTCTTCTTCACCTTTGGAGATGCAAGAACGGGTTTTGGGTTATAGATTTGGGATTGTTGTTCTTGATAAGGTTGGTCATCAAAAGAAGCCAACACCACTTCAATAATTGTGTCTATTAGGTCATCCAAACCTTCATTATCATTAGAAGAATCCACACATTCATTAGCATTAATATCATCTACACCTTCATTAGAATTAGCATCATCCACACTTTTAGTAGCATTAGAAGCATTCACACTTTCAGTAGCAGTAATTGAGGTTTTCTCTTTGGTTCTTGGTGTTTTCTCTGCAACATAGTAAGTTTGTAAGGCACAATCATTTTGTAACAAATTACTAACAAATAATAATGCAACATAGTAAGTTTATGGTAACCTACCTTTCTTTTCAATGCATTTGGGTCATGTTCATTTCTTTGGCATTTTTCTTGAATCATGACTAAACTTATCACACTTTGTGCATGTATAAGAAAGGTACACTAAACCTCTTCATCATTGACCTTGTTTCACCATGCTCTCTAAACCTTAATTTCCTAGGCCTACCCGGATCCTTCTTATACTTTGTTGTTAACATCTCTTCAACATCCACAGTTGGCCACATGTCCATCCCATTGATGGGAGTAACATTATTTTCATAACACTTTTGATATGTCTCTCTCATATAACATG